CAGTTAAATTCACTCTATCTAGGAGGCTCAGTTTATATGGATAGTTTTTATTTTTTACAATAACAAGCTGCAATGAAAACAAGCAAAAATGAAATAAAAGTAACAACTTTATACTTCTTGTGTTTTTAAAAATGTAAGAAGTAGAAGTAAAAAGTTGGCTAACAAATAATTACTCAAGTAAAGTACAGATACCCAAAAATTCTACTTAAGTACAGTAACAAAGTATTTGTACTCAGTTATACGACTCTGATCATCAGCAGCTAAAATAAGACATTTATGATTAATTTACTGACTGAAATAAAACTGTAGACAGAACCGAACAAATAAAAATGAGAGATTAGAGGAAAACGTTGCGTTCACTGACCTTCTGAAAGGAGGAAATCCACACAGCAGGATGTAGGTGATCACTCCTGCTGCCCAGATGTCCACCTTCAGTCCATAACTGCAAACAAAAAAAAAATGAAACCAAAAACTGAAGTTAAAGTACAAAATTAACATTTTATTGTTAAATAAAACAGGTCTGACTTCATCTATAGATTTGAAACTGTTGGGATGTTATGAGCCAAATAAAAACAGAAAAGTTGACTCTGTTTCTCTCCTGACCCGGTCTCGGCGATGATCTCGGGGGCGACGTACGTCGGCGTGCCACACACGGTGTAGAGCGGCCCGTCCACCACCGTCGCCAAACCAAAGTCCCCCAGCTTCAGAGACTTGGTGCCGTCTGGATACTCACACACCTGAACAACACAAAGGTTTCAAATCGTCCAGAAAGAAACACAAAACGGTCGAAAAACACAACATTTATGTCAACTGCCTCTGACGGTACAACATGCTGACTATGATCATAAAACTTCTGTTTATACATTAAAACGTATAAAAAAAAATATATAAAAATATAGCATGTACCAGGTGTTTCAGGACACATAAAGCCTGAAATATTTTGTCCTTAAGAACCAGTTTATACCAGAAGGTGGCGCCATTTAAAAATTTAAAAATTAACCTGAGCTCCTTTAACCAAGAGGTACTTAATTATGGAAGACCAAACCTATCATTATTGGAAATGAATGTATAAATATATAACTGGCGTATTAAAATAAATTATAGGGTCAAAAAGAGGTTTGACAAATAAATTATTGTGCCATTAAATCAATTACATCAATTATTTAGATATAAATGTGTATTTACATTTTAATTTTGAAGGATTATATTTTCTC